AAATACAATTTAAAAAAAAATGCAGTATAAATAAACAATTAAAGTGGTAGTGCTTTGATGTCTATACACAAAATGCATATCATATATCTGCTTTATACCAAATGAAAATTATAATTAAAGTGACATTATGAGCTAAAACCTCCTCAAATTTATACTTTCCTGTGATCACCTCCAAAGGGGCATCTTAAGCTGACGGGCTAGGCGTGATGCTCAACCCAAAAGGAATCTGGTCTGGACTCCAAACTTACATAGTAAAAGACAAAAAGGGAATTGGAGACACACCCGGAACATGCATTTCTCAGCAAGGGTGCACCTGTATATATTCACAATGCTCTTACAACAGATTATTTAAATACACATATTTAGGACTAGCGCTCTTTAATTTGTTTCCCACGTTGGAATTACTGTAGGACCAACCAATATTGGGGTACTTGGGCTTAACACACAATATGGCCATATGATGGAACTAAATCCCCATATATGCAGAAATACATGTTCCCCCAATTCACATTTTTAATTTGCTATGTAAGTTTGGAGTACATACCAGATTCCTTTTGGGTTGAGCACCTCGCCTTGCAACTTCAGAAAATAGCCATGTTGTGACTACAGAAGAGATATATATATACAATGTGGACAGTCACGTTCTGGGGATAACACTGATGAGGTGATATTTAAAGCAGCACAACCCAGTCAGCTGTCTCTAGTCCCTGGCTAGTAGCAGTATGCTTATGGAGTGACAGTGGTGCCTTCAATGTCCTTAGGTGCTGGTGTATTAAATGACATAAACTAAAAAAACAAAATTGGTTACAGAGCTTGACTAATATTAAGTTCGAAGCCTGATTGCCCACCAGGCAAGTCAAAAGCTGGTTTGCTTTTAATAGAAAAGACCTAAATCCGAGCTTCTTGATCCACTTCTAGGGAACACTCCTACACTAGAATGGACTAAGCTTTTTGATGTGGCCAGGTGTTGCCTGTGACTGATTGTATTGCTGCATGCTGGTTCACTGATGAAGGTGGCTGGTTCCTTTGCTTTGCTCTGCACCTATTGCTCTGCTCCTTACCACTCCTTTGAACATGTGGGGATATCCAAGTCCCTGCTGGAGTGGTTCTCTTCACTTACCAGAGAGATTTCTGTTGAACTCAGCCTTCAGTAGGAGGTTAAGCGGCTTAAATGGCAGATACCCAGGCATGTGGTTATCCACAGGACTCACCCTTAGAGATGGGCACTAACAAAGCCTTTGACCAATTATGTGCACACTTTTGTGAGAATGTTTTTTTTAAAAAGCTCTTTATCTTAAACATGAACAAGCTAAGACAGATCCTGTGCTGATTCAATCATTTTCGATGTCAGAGAGATCAAAAGCTTACCACTTCTTACCTGGGCCTGGAGAGACTAGGGACTGGTCCCTTTCATATGGCCAACAGCCTAAGGAGTTGCGGGTTTCTTACAGGTCTGCCCTGTGATATAGATCTGGTTTCCAGGAGATGCCGATCAGTGGGCAGGATGTGCTGATTGTCAATTTGAGTAAATACAACTTCCCATGTTAAGGAGTAGTCTGACTTTCCAATCTATTATAAGAGTCTCATAATCTGGTTTATATATGGTTCTCCCATGTTCTGATTATCAGTTATGGGCTACTCAGCGTTTTTTCTTGTTTATGTCTTATCTGCAACATCTTTACAGATAGCTTATTATTTTTCTTTTCTGGTGAAAAGCATATTTTTCTTTTTTATACCCACCTGCTTGTTTTGATATACTTTAAGCTGCTGTCTACTCGTGCAATATCTATATCTCTAATAGAGAGGTGCATCCATCTGTCACCTAAACATGTAATACTTACAGCTTATATCACTTTATTTTCTCTATGATGTATATTGATGCAGCATGCGAAATGTATTCTGTATTCATCTCAATAAAAAAACAGTGATTAACAAAAGGTGATTAACAAACTGATATTTTAAATGTTTGTAAAAATAAGGCAAGGTAAGTAAAGATGAGCACTTACATTTTATGGAGCTATAATCTGGCTCCGACTTATGCTCTTAAATGGTACAATCCCCACCTATGGATTACAATATACTCCACAAGATATGTAACAGACCAAAAAAAATAAGAACCAATATAGTGTAGTATGTCTTAAATTATGGATATAAGGTAAATTAATATATATATTTACACTCACATATGGATGAACCCCAAAATAACTCCCTTTGATAGGCATGAAGGCATAAGTATATTTCTTTTTATCTAAATCCTTTTTATTACAGTGTGCACCATATGTGCCTGTTTTGTTTTTCATATCTACAGTAAAGATATTACTAAGCCTCACATCTCATAGTGGGCTCACCCATATATGAAGCCAAGTGAAGACAGATCTTGCTCCTAGAGTTATGTAGAAATGCACCCTGCTCCTTCTGTCTCAACATGCCACCCCCCACATAAGTTTATTCAAATGCAAGTATCCAACATGCTTACCTGTGTGACTCCTATTTGAGGGGGGCATGGTGCATTTTTCCTGGTGCTCCCACCTGGATCTGCATCTAGCCAGGCAAACTCTAAAAATAAATGTCATTTAGGTATTTTAACATGAATATTTTCTAGATTTAGCAAAGTCACCCATGGGTCTGAAGGAGGCTATATCTGTAAACCCTTGGTTAGCCTCCTGACTAACCCTAGAAATTGAACTTTAACATACAACTACTGTCTACAATTAAAATGTGTTTTTGTTTCTTTAAATACATCATCTTTATTTTAAATTATGCACATAATGGATTGTCTTATATTAACTATTTACAAAGTAACAGCAATGACGGTACTGTACTATCTAGTAATACCTTTTTATTATATTAACAGAATTTTAAAAATACAGGCTTTCAAGAGTTCCTCCCTTTATAAAGTCAAATACATTTTGACCAAACCCAAGGCAGTGCATAAAAAAATGATTGTTCAAAAACTATTTTAGTTTATTAAAAAAAAATATTATGATGTGTAGTTATACTATGGGTTATTCAAACTAAAGAACTATAGTTTATTTTGCAATAAAAAGTGAACTTGCACATCGGCTGACTCAGGACATTGCACCTCAAACCCAGACGGTAGCTTGACATCCACTCTAGTTTTACTCTCCTACCCATGGCATGCCAGCCATCACCTACAGTGCCCCTCCTGATTCGACTCACAGCGAGCATCACTTTTTCTTTAACTGCTTATATCACCGCTTTTCTATTCTGTTTTATAGGGGATGTTGTGGGATGCAGCCTTTTATAGTACAAACGCCATACGTTGGCTGCTGTGCCACTGCCTAATGGATGTGCATACCCCGACCATATACTCAGTCTTAGAACCTACCAGCCTTTCCTGGGGCCATAAAGGGGCATCAAACTGGTGTTTTGCAGTAGCTCACATTACCAAACTCAACTTGGGGAGCTGGTGCCCACCTTCTATATGGTGTTAGCATTTACAGGGCTGTGGACCCAGTGGTATTTCTTTAATCTCTTAAGAGCACTCCCATACTACCAGTCATTGGCATAGTGCTCCTACTCTCATTCTGTTTATGCAACCAGTACCTAGGTTTCAACTCCAGCCTGTAAGCCATCTATAAGCCAGCACCAGTACTGTGTTTTTCTAGCCTGAATAATCAATCTATGTACCTAACATGTTCCATATCGTTAGCCTGTTTAAAATATAAAATTGTGCATATCCCCGCGATTATCCCAGATGTAAAGCATGATTAAATGCTTGAGGATTGCCATTGGGGTACTTCAAGCTTGTTGTCATTTTCTTATACAGTGCAAAAATATAAAATAAAATAAAAATAAAGTGAACTTGCAAATGTAATCTATACTCTGAATTGGTGATATTACCAGCAAATGTATAAATTAAAATATATTCCTGGTATATATTTTAATTTATAAATAGAATATATTTATAAAGTGCCAACAAATTCCACAGCGATGCAACATAGCTTGACAGACAGACAAGTATTTGCAGCAAAACTAATTGGACACACAGGAACAGAGAGTGTTTTGGGCCCTGATCTAACGAGCTGTACTCACAAAACACCAAATTTGCTTTTCAAACTTTGGCTTTTTGTGTTTGGCTCAATTCTCCCTCATTTGGTTGTTTAAAGTCCTCGGTGGTTGACTCCAGTGAATTGTCACAAGGAAAAATGCCATAAAATAAAAGTCAAGTTTGGGGAGAGGATATAAAGTTGGTGTTTCGGATTAGGGAGCTCAGAGTTTTATGTGCAATTCTCCTGGTCTCTTCAAAGAACTAGAACAACAGAATGAAGTAACATTGGTTGTAATTTGTCTGCAATTTGGTTGTTATGAATAACCATTAACAAATAATTGGACTACTTTCATTGACCTGAAGTTGAATAAAAGTACAAATTTAATTAAAATAACATATTTAGTTTTTTATGAATTGCAAAATTACAAATTTTGACAACCATCTTCTATTCTGCTGCTGCTTGGTTACTATTCGTCATATAGTAAACATGCCTTTTAAAACACGCCTAGTTGCCTACCACAGTGAATGCAATGTGAAAATACTTGCCTCTAAATATTATCTGCAGGATCTATTGCAGAAACAGTACATATGGACATAGTAATGCAACACTGCTGCATACAAATTGGTCAGTAGGTACAATTTAGATAGAAATGTATGGCTAGTACACTATAGATGAAAAAATAAGATGATGAATTGGAATTCCATGATATTTTTCACAGGGTCATTTTAAGCAGATACATCACATTTTCTTTCAGTTTGGCCACACTAGCTCTGAAAATTTTTTGCAGGTTGGCATACCCGTAAAAAGCACCAGCTAAAGATCAATATACAACAATATACCTCATATAACTGGGAAACTATAGCAAGCTGTGTTACAGCATACAGTAAATAGATAATGTTCTGCTATACAAAGTAAAAGTTTCAAAAAGTCTGACCAAGGGACCAAAAAAACCAAACCATGTAGCACAGAGACATAAGTGTTAAAAAAATGGAGGTATACTCACAAGTGAAGAGCAAATAGGATATTGCTCAATATACGCCTAAATATATTGAGCAATATCCTATTTGCTCTTCACTTGTGAGTATACCTCCATTTTTTTAAATCATTTTATTTTGTATTATCCAGAGAGCACTATTTTGTGTTTTTATCCCTTTTATATATCACCAATTATTCGAATACTGGCCTACTGCCATTGGAAAGGAGATATACCCTACCACCACTGGAGACCCCTTTTTGAGGACATCCAAGGACCATCTACATATCCATAGGCGGGGATTGTACCGTCCAGGTGCACATATCTGGAGCTGAGTATAGGCTCCAGAAAATTGTAAGTGCAATTCCTTTCCCTTCATTTACCATCACTTTAGATCTCAATATACTAAACTACATCCGTGTCTTTTTCCTTCCCTCCTCCATATCGCTCTGAGCGTGGGAATTCCTTCACAGGTGCTGCTCCCTGATCCTACTACCTACTTTTCCCAAAATGGTTTTATTTTGGGGCACTCCCACCATAGGTGAAGTAGGGTGCCCACCTCTCCTCCTCACCTCCAACAGCTGTTATCTATGGTTGGTATCATCGCGTGTAGTGACTGGGGAGTCCTATACCAGTATGTTAGCAATTTATACGCAGTTTCTTGTGACTTACCGGACACTGCACAATGTAGTGTGAGGTCACAGATTTTGTGACATTGTTTGGGAGTTAGTGTTTCCCCTAGGGCTTCCTCCCATTCCCCATAAAGTGAGGGTTTGGTGTATTCTGCTGTGTGAGGAGCATAATGTATAAGGTTGATATGCCATGTTCCATTAGGTCTTTGTCTGTGCAGATCACCTCTAGTGGAGTTAGGACTCTTGTCAGGAGGGGTTTCTGTGGGAGAAAGGTGAGGAAGTCTGTCAGCTGTTTATATCTGAAGCAGAGCATGAAATTTGGGGTGTTCGTGTTGTTATCTTGGTCAGGGGTTTGATCTGTCCCTCCTTGAACAGGTGTCGTGCTTGGGGGATGTCTGTGCCTGTCATCCTCTTGAATGACTTTGGTTTTAGGCCTGGAGGAAAGGCTGGGTTGTGGACCAGTGGGTACAGGGGTGCTGGGAATGATGATAGGGCCAGTTTTGGGGCCTGAGTGTGCCATACTGTGATGGTGGCCTTAATGAGTGGGTGTCGGGCTACAAATTTGGTACTGTGTGTTGGTTCCAGAGAGGGTATGACCGTCATGGGCTTGCCTACTTGTGTGGCTTCTATTTCTTTCCACAGTTTGGTGACACCCTGTTTAGACCATTCCACTATCCTTTGCAGGTGTGTTGCTTGATAGTACAGCTTAAAGTCTGGGAGAGCCAGGCCTCCCTCTGACTTCGGCAGTGTGAGGATGTTATGTCGTGAACGGGCTTTGGTATTGTGCCAGATGAACCTCAGGATCAGCGTGCGCAATGTGGCAATGACATTTTTGGGGATTGTTTGAAACAGGTATAGCACCCGCGGTAGGAGGTTCATTTTGACTATGCCCACTCTGCCGAACCAAGAGAGGTGTGGCAGTGACCATCTCTCCAGATCCTCCCCTAGCCGCGTTAAGAGAGGTTGGAAGTTGGCCCGGTATAGCTGGCTGCATTCCCTTGTAACCCAGATCCCTAGGTATTTCAAGGTTGAGTCTGTCCCTTTGAAGGCAAAGAGGCATTGAGTATGTATGACCTGTTCTTTTGGGAAGGACACATTAAGTATTGTAGATTTTGAGTAATTTATTTTCAAATTTAAAAGCGATCCATAGGTGTCAAATTCTGTCATTATATGTCTTAGTGAGCGGTCCGGGTTTGTCACGAAAAATAAGAGGTCATCCGCATAGGCCGCCACGGTGTGGACTGTTTTGCCTATTCTCATCCCCTGTATGTTTGGGTTCTGTCTGATCACTTGGAGGAAGGGTTCGAGGGCAAGGACGAAGAGCAAGGGAGATAGCAGGCAGCCCTGTCTAGTGCTGTTCCTGATCGGGAAGGGGTCTGTGAGTGCTCCGTTAACACAAAGTCTGGCTGTGGGGCAGGAGTACAGGGACTTGATCCAGTTCATGATATACTGGCCCATCCCTATCTTTTGCAGGACAGCAAACAAGTAGTCCCAGTTTACTCTGTCGAAGGCCTTCTCTGCGTCTGTAGACAACAGGAGGAGGCTCTCTGAGGTCAAGGTAGAGTGGTGTAGGATTGCTAGGGCTCGTATAGTATTGTCTCTTGCCTCCCTTCTTGGAACAAATCCCGCTTGGTCTCCATGTATGAGACCCGGTAGGTGTTGTTGGAGTCTCACGGACAATATTTTGGTAAATAATTTCAGATTGCAGTTTAGTAATAAGATGGGCCTGTAGTTAGCGCACTGTTCTGCGTCCTTGCCCTCTTTAGTGATCAGTGAAATGTTGGTTTCTAGTGTCTGTTGTGTCATGGTGCTTCCTTTCCTGAGAGAGTTGTATGCTTTCAAAAATTGTGGTGTGTATTTTTTATAGTAGCCCACAGACAGGCCATCTGTTCCTGGGTATTTCCCTGTCTTTGCGAGTTTCAAGGCTAAGGCTAGTTCTTCTGTCGTGAGGGGCTCGTCTAACTCTTGGATCGCCTCTGCAGGGAGGCGTTTATCTAGGTGACGGTCTAGGTATTCCTTAATATCAGTCTCGTGTCTACTTCTGGGTAGGGTTGCATGTTGTGTGGATAATGAGTATAAGTCAGAGAAGTATGCATGAAGGACTGTGGCTATATCTGTGGGCAAGAGTTTCAGTCTGTTATGTTTGTCTCTGATTTTGGGTATGTATGCGTTCGCTCGCCTTTTGGCTGTCATTCGGGCCAGTAAGGACTCGCATTTGTCTGCGTTAACAAAGAAGAATGTTTTAATTTGTGTGACCATTTTCTGTTAGGAGTTATTGAGCAGTGTCGACAGTTCTCTACGTAATGTCGACAGTTTGCGCCAGTCGTCATGTCGCCCTGTCTGTTTGTGGGTCCCCTCAACTTGGTGGATTTCCTGTAAAAGGTGTGTTAGATGTGCCTTTTGTTCTATTTTAATCGTGGAGCCTTTTGCTATTAGTGCCCCTCTTATGACACATTTGTAGGCCTCCCAGAGGCACATCGGTGTAGTTTCTTCTCTATCGTTTTCTTCAAAGTATGTTGTGAGGGAGGTACGAATCTCTTGGAGAGTCAGCGGATCTGTCAGGAGGGATTCATTGAGTCTCCAGTTCATCATTGTGGGCCTATACAGTGGGGTTGACAGGGTCATCATTAGTGGGGCATGGTCGGACCACATTGTGGTGCCTATGTGGATGGTCTGTAAGTCTCTTACATAATAGTGGGGGGTGGAAGAAATAATCTAGGCGGGAGTATGATTGGTTAGAGGTTGAGAAGAAAGTAAAGTCCTTCGTTCTTCGGGGTGTGTGGCCCTTCAGCAGTCCACTAGTCTGTGGTCTCGTAGGGAATTGTTTATGGTTTGTAGGATGTGTGCGGGTACTGCGGAGGTTCCTGTGGATGTGTCTTGTCATGGGTGTAGAGCAACATTAAGATCCCCCCCAACAATGAGGCACCCTTCAGTGAATCCCTGAATCGCTCGTAGGGTTGATTTTATAAATCGGGCTTGTTTGGTGTTGGGTACATATAAGATGAGCAGTGTGCAAGGCTTGGTTAGCACCGTTCCCTTAACACATACATATCCCCCTCCTTTATCTACCAGAGTTTCTTTGTGTTGGAATTGGAGAGATTTCTGTAGCAAGATGACAGTGTCCTTGGATTTCCCGTCTGGGTTGTTACTAGTGAAGCATTGTGTGTAGCGGTTATTCGTCAATTTGGGAGTGTGTCCTTCCCAGAAGTGTGTCTCTTGGATGAACACTATGTGTGATTTAAGGCTATGGAAGTAGTTTAGGGCTTGGGATCATTTTTCGCGTATATTAAGGCCTTTAGCATTTATGGATAGGAGGTTGATGGGTGCTGTGACGAGGCCAATCTCGCCACATTGCATTGGAGAAGCCTGGTTGCCTGCCTGCTGCCTTTTGACTATGGACCGGCATTTAAATACTTTATATTCCTATGCAGAAAGGTCTATTCCTGTATTTCTCTGGCTGTTATAATTACATTACCCATTGTGTAAGTTAATTGTATCACAGGCAGAGGGGAGGATATTGTGTGGGAGTGTCTGAGTGTATTGTACGTGTTTATTGGTTGTTTTCCAAAACCCTGTGGGTGGTACTAATGAGTATATAAGAACAATAAACCCACAGCTCTGTCTGTTCCTGCTTGACCCTCAAAACGGAGCCTTGTCTCGTTCTTGGGGGGATTTACTTATGCTGTTCCAGTTCGACTGCTAGATCGTTCCTACAGCCAGAAGGACAGCTACAGGAGACACCATTTCTTTGGATTTTACAAATTGAGGGCAACGCATGTCTGAGTACAGCGACCCTGACAGCACCAGGATGAAACCAGCAGTGGAGTACGATGAGGGTGTCATGGATGACCGAGATGCAGTTCACAAAGGCATCTGGTACCAGGCACTGGGTATTGTGGAGTACCAGCGGGGTGAGAGACTCCCCAAGGAAGACCAGCGATTGCAGAAGCGTTCTTGGGGGGATTTACTCTATGCTGTTCCAGTTTGACTGCTAGGAGTGTAAACCTATTTGTATGGTTTTTCTTTTTCAGCTGTTTACAGCATTCGTATGCTTGAGAGCATTCATATGCGGTTCGGTGGATTGGTGTCTACAGTAGCTGCCTGTGTCTCTGGAAGGGGAAGATCTACTAAACGGCTTTTAACCCCTTTTTATGCCTGGGGGTGCCGTTACAGGTGCCATTTGGTAGGTCTGGGTAGTCGCCATTTCGCCACTATAACTAGTAGCGTTGGCTGTGCGTAAAGTGAGGGCAGATAGACTTTAGTATCGTTGCGGGGGAGAGGAGAGAGGGAAAGAGGGAGAGGGGGTGTTAAAGGCGTATACTGGAGCCCGAATGTGGGCGTGGAAATTGGGTCGGGTAAATCTGTCAGGTCCCCACGCAGGGAGGGCCCAGTCTCCACTGAGTGGAGTGCGAGCAGCGTGAACCAGTGTTTGGTAAGGTAACGGGTGTCTGAGGGGGTCCAGTCTGGCGTCCGCTCC